CAAGGCATCAGGGCTTAGGCTTCTTACAGGCTTCAAAACAACCTGTGCACAAGTTGGCAACGTGGCAGGAGCAACCTGTATGGAACTTTGTGCCACTGTTTGCATTTAAGCATCTTAGATGTTGATATGTTGCGCGGACCTGGGTTGGGAGATCGCGGCCGCTCGAGGATCTTGCATCCCATCGCAATGTTGTCTCGTCAGATTGTGCCCAGGGTACGGTGATAATTTGTCACATAATCCTGGGATAGCACGTGGCCAGCGCACTAAGGACAGCCAGAAGCAACCCACCTTCACGGAGAGAGAGCCGCCCTGAACGCGCTGGCAGCTTGCCTGAAGACTCTTTGCATTTCATTGAACGTGAACATGTTGCACTTCAGGGTTTCACAGAAGACACTTGAAGCAGCATGTCCGAGCTAGTGCCACCAATGATTGACAGATTTCCACTACCTTCGACCTTGATCAATCTGAAACGAGTTTCCTTTGGGCGGGTTATTCTCTTCTGGTTCGTTGTGCATGACGTCATTTGTACCTATGATGATTCGGCAATGGGCATTGTGAGACCTTCAGCCACACTCAAGCCCAGGGCATTTGAGTAAAGCCTGATAATCTTGGTGGTTCCCAGCCATCCCCTTGGGGTTTCGTGGGGTTTTCATTTAACCCACTAAAAGTTCGTCATGTTTAGTAGCGTATCAGGACGTCCCAGCCATGGATAGTTCTGGCGAACATCGCCCGTTTTTCGGGAGAAGTCATCTGCATCCGGACCAAGGCGATGCCCCGACCCTTCTTTCGCCAGAGGCCTAGATCCAGGCACTCCTTCAGACCTGAGCTGTCCCACGCCATTGGGGCTTCAAGATTGATCTTTACGGCATAGGTGTCCCTTTTTAGGTTAGTTTCGATTAAAATACATGGCACGGTTTCGATGGGGGCTGTTCCGTTTACCAGGGCCATCGATTTTTCCAAAAGGCCACGTATGCTTTATGGTGCCCTCCAGGTGCTGTGTTATCGAGCCTCCGTGCCGCTCGGGGGGGAAAAAACCAAGAAAACAAGAAAAGAAAAAACAACAACAACAATATGGCCCGCGTTCTGTTTGCCTGAGCCTTACGTAACGAGATGGGTACTGGACAATCAGTGCTTGGCCAGCCTTTGCTCAGTGAACTTCATTGCTTAGCAAGTTGGTATGTTAGCTATGTGACACTGAAATCGTTCCCGAATGGGGCCGCAGCTGATTTTGACAAGTCCGCCTGTAAGTCAGGGTTCTATTTCTTGAATACTCCAAGGTAGGCTTGAATCTAGGGTTGGTTTCCCTAAAAGGGGGGAAGAACAGCCAGAACCGCTCGACCTTCAGGACCCTTTTGTCCCTCTTTCCGGAATTGTTGTGGCTCCACGGCACGGCGTGAGCAGTACCGGTGGTACCTGTTGTGTCCCTTTAAAGGAAAATGGTCCAAACCAACAGCCATGTTCCGAAGGTCAGGTTTATGTCAAATGGGTTTGGGTCAAAACATTGAACCAGGGTATGGACCGCAGATTTCAAGTCCATTTTGTCCATTTCGGGCAACCCATTTTGGGGCTGCCCTGTTCTTGAGCCACACCCACAGCCGAAAACCAGCTGCTTCACAAGGGAAACACCTAAATCAGCTACAAATGATTTCATCCAAGGACCCTGTTTGGAACAACCCTGGCTGCTCCAAAGACCCGGCCCAGAAAACCAAAGGACCCACCAATCTTTCCCGCGAGGGTCTCCCCAGGCGCTGTCATGCGCTGGCCGCCAGCCGGACCCTCTGCGAGGAAGCGGCGCAGCGCGCGCGGAAGCTGCAGGCGGGGCCCGAGAAAGCGACGGAGGAGTCTGACTGACGCAGACGTGTAGAGACTCCATAGCCCATGTAAAACAAAAACATGGCCATGAATCTTAAATTTGCCAAGTAGTAACCCTGTACATTTTCCTTGTGCTTTGGGGTCTATGCTATGCCTTTCATTTGTTTCAGGCCCGTTCTGCGGAACTGCACAACCCAGTCGCAAAGTTTTTGCGCTTAGAATTCCATACCCCCAAGATGCCGGCTTTCTGTACCGAAGAGGATAAGCCAAGTCAACATAAGATATCCTTTTTAGGTTAGCTTCGATAAAAATAGATGGCACTGGTGGGGATGGGGTTGGGTCCATTTACCAGGGCCATCTATTTTGCCAATATGCCGCCTATGCAAGTCAGTTGTCTTGGCCAGGCTTCTCTCATGGAGGCCCAGTGGCGCGAGGCTGCTGTGATGCGGGAGCTGTCAATCAAGCAGCAGGAGCGTCTGGGCAGTGCCTGGGTCGTCGTGAGCACACAACTGTCTAAGTTTGGATGCCTCTTCTTGCTCAGTATTGATGTACCTGTTTGGTGTTTCACTCGTTCGCAGGGGCACTGAGAATCGATTCCCTCTGATCTGAAGGTGGGGCAACAAAAAGAAAAAGGAGACAAATGCTGTCCCTTGGCCCTTTGCCAGGAACTGGACCGGCCCTGCCACAAGCCGCTGTGCCGGAGCACCTCCGCAGGACTTTTCAGAGGGGTGGGGTGACTTTCAGCTGCCCCCAGCTTCGCGGCGACCTTGGCATTGGCCATGATGAGCTGCGCAAGCGCCTACTTAAGGGTCGCTTTCCGATCGTATCGGCCAAAAGGCGGAGTTGTTGTGCGTGCGCTCACTGACCACACGCCGACGCCGTGCAAAGCATTTTTGCATGGCCCTGCAACCGATAGAAAACTGCATGCGTTCATGACTGACACGCCAAGCAAAGCATGACAGGCTTCAACCGCATGCACTCTTTGTCTGCTCGCAGGCCAAGTGTTGATTCATGTCTAGTTTTGTCCTCTCGTTTTTGTTTTTTTTTTTCCCGGCAAATATTGAAGTTCCATCGGAGTTCAAGTATCCTTTCTGAAGCTGACTCACTATTAGGTTTCATTTTTGCTTTTGAGTGGGTCAAGGGTGCAAACGAGTTGATGGACCTACTTGGATTGCATGCTTTCCACTCATTAGTAATGCCCAACTGATCAATCCCATTAATGAAATGTGGTCCAATCTTCTACCATGGACGATCAGGCATGATCAGGCGGCCTGAAAACTTGCAGGATTGCTTGGCAGCAGTAGCGTAGGCTTGTTCCTCGCAAAAGTGTTGTGTTCGCTTTGGCTTCACTGTGGGCTGCGTGGGAACTTGCCTAAAAGAAAGTCTTTGCTCAACTTGCCGTAAAGTGGCGGGTGTGACTCTTCTGAATTCGCTCGTTACCAACAAGTTTCGGGGCAATACAAGCATCACCTAATTGACCAGCGAGCCCGCCGTGCGCCAGGAGGGATTCGATCCTTGTGATGTGGGAAGGCTGCCAGTGAGAGCTGGCTTTCGCCAGAGAGGGACTGCCCATGACTGTGGGGGGCACCCTTTGATTGAAAGGCCCTGGCCACCAAGCTGCCATGGACCGGTAGGCTGGCTAAGGCTAATTTACGCCTGGCCAGACGAGACGTGTGACGGCGTGGCACGCCTCGATATGTGCCAGCTCCAGGGTGAAGATTTAACATAAGTGGTCACACGGGGCCTTGGATCCAGAACCACGTCATCAACCCCAATGTTGTGGATAATATCAGGGTCCGAGTTTGGTTCCATTGATAGGGGTGAAGATGCCTACCCGTTTCTAGCTGTGTTTCTTCCTTTCCCCCAGGTAGCTGAAAGCTATAGGGGTCCTACCTTCAAGTAAGAAAGGGGTGGGTGAGACTCAGAATTCCGGCCGGGTGCTGTTGCAGGGTGCTGCAGCAAAGTGCTGCGGGTGCTCGAGTTGCACAGCTGCTGCAGGCCGAGCGTTGAGCAAATATACCAGAACTCCGGCAAGCGAATGCCAATGATGCAGTATTATCTATGCAGATTGCGGCAAGCGAGTTGCCAGGACACACTGTTGTCAGAATATCTAGGTCGGCGCGTTAAGCAAATCCACCAAACATCGACTCTGAGAGGCGGCGCGTTAAGCAAATCCACCAAACATCGACTCTGAGAGGCGGCGCGTTAAGCAAATCCACCAAAAGTGAGCGCCACTGCTGCAGTACTGTCCACGCAGGCTTTGGCAAGCGAATTGCCAGAACCCTCTGCTGTCAGAATCATTTTAGTCGCTCTGCCGGGTGGCGTTGCTGCGTTGGCAAATCTAGCTGCAAGCTTCGGGCCTGAGCTCGGTTGATGCTTTGGGTGACAACTTTTTCGATCCGAGCACGTGCAGAAAGAGAATCAAGCAGCTTGCAGATGCCAAGATGTGAAAAAAGGACTCCCTTCCTGCCCTATATGCATTTGAGGCCTGAAGCTTAGTCCAACTCATCTTCACGCGACCTAAAATCCTCTTCGAATTATGCTGCTGCGATGTATGAAGGGCCTTTTTCGTTCCATTAATTTTGTCCTTACTGAACTTGTAGACGGGGATCAGGCATCCATCGGTTCCACCCAACGGTTTGGGGTTTCAGCGGCTCACGTTTTCCAACGTGCAACCGCGCAGCCGTGTTGATGATTGGCACATGTGGCGCTGGCGTGTCCAAGCCTCAGCCCAAAGCTTTCCCGATGAACAACCATCCATCAACCTTGCTGTGGGCCAACAGCAGTTTCATGGCAAAGAAATATGGAAATCTGCAGGCTTTCGAGGCTCACGTAGCTCGGCTTAAAGCCGAGCTTTCGTGCTTGCTACGCAATCCAGAAAGGGGCAAAAGACAAAAAATCAGAAAGAAGCGCGTGCTTACATGCTTATTGCATGTTTTATTTGCAATTGCTCATTTTCCAACAGTCAATTGGGATCATTGGGGCGGGCGAGTGTGGAAATTTGGTGATGGCCCCTTTTGTTGTTTGCAAATAAGTCGTGTGTTGCTGTCACGCGGCGACTTGCCCTGATTTGCTTACTCCATGTTACTAGCTGTGCTAGTGGATGCTTCTCTCAACTTCTAGCCTGCACGCATAAAGTTCCGGCATCGGAATTCAGATCTCATGGCTCGAGCCTGTGTTTTGTTGAGGTGCTCTTACAACCTGGTGAACGGAAAGCAGGTGGGGCGCAGACTGGCTGAAGCCTGCCTTCCCCGGTTCGGGGCATAGCGCAGATGAAGAGGGACGGAATGGGGGTGTGAGCGCCTGATCCATGGACAGAGTTGGAATTATTTGGCGGATATTTTGTGGGAAGGGGATGCGTGGGATGCCAGGCCTGCAGCAACAACGACTTGCTGAAAAGGGACTTGAAAGACCGCATGGGTGCGCGGCCCAAGGCAAGAACCCCCTTGACTGAGTCAGCGTCTTCAGTGTTCGCAGCTAATGCATGCCCGGCCGGTGAACTTTTTGCACTTTCGTCAGATGTTGATATTGTCAACAGGCCTTCATGCAATACTGTAGTTCTAGGGGTTGACTCCCCTTCTTTTCAACCATTTCTTTTCAAAAACCAGCTGTTTCCCCCGGGGCTCTGATATTCTGATGGTTTTCTGGAAAGAAGGATCCCTGGAAAGACTGGGGAAGTGTCCCCTAGAATAGAAACTCAGCAGCTCACATGCAGGGATGCGCTTTGGGGAGCCCCGAACATCTTAGGCTTTGACGGCTTTGCCCACACCTCAGCCTGCAGTTCAGCAGGGGCTGGCTTTGGATCGGGAAACGAATGTGGCTGTGGGTCAAAACCAATGGGATCCCATTTTGGTTGGTAGGTGAATTCACCACCAGTAGAACTTATTTTAGTGGTTGGATTGGGATGTTCACTGGGTACGATTTGGATTTTGACCCATGGACATGTAGAGCCTTCAGAGGGTAAGAACCTTTTGGGGAGACGGGTCTAAGGGAATGGGCCTTCGGGTTGGGCCCTGCTGTCTACGAAGCGACGGCGCAAGGGTGTGACATCCCTCAGAAAGTCTACCTGTTGCATGACACAAGTTTGCCCATTCCAGGGTGAGACTGACTTTAAGAAGGGGACACTAGCAACATGAACACGCGCCAATTTCATTTCTTGTGCAGCATTGTGCTAGCAAGGTGCTGAGCGACTGGTGGGCCATTCGCAATGACGAGGTGGGCTATCCAGAATGCAAAAGAGTCCAGCATAGACATAACTGCCTAGGTACCCACATTGCAGTCATGCCCCTGGCCCCCTGGCACTTGCTTTTTAGGATTGGGCGGTGCCTCGACCATTTGGCCACCACAATCCTTCGACCTACTGTGTCGAGCCTGCTCACACGAGAGATGATACCCACGAGCCCGGCTTCAACGTTTTATCAGGTCAGTTGCGAGTTTATAATGGCTTGGGAATGTGCAAAGTCCAATCACACTCAAGGGGGAGAAATCACATTTAAACCGGATTCACCACTTCCCCAGAACTAGTTCCCTGTGTATTTTTGCCCCCAACAGCTGAAAGCCTTGGGGTCTCAGCCCAGATAGGCTCCGGGGTGGTCCGGGGCGGACCTGAGGTCCCGTTTGTTTTCCACTATCCAGGCAAAAAAGTTTTTTTTTGCGGCGATGCTGAGAGTTTATGTGCCCCAGAATGGGCAGAGCCCTGTCGTTTTGTTAACCTTCCTGGGGCCCCAGCACACCACCTGAGCGGCGAAAACAACCTCCGTAGATCAATTTAGATGAAACTAGGAAAGTACTCTTGCAGTCGTAAGCGTTTTTGCGAGATTCGTAAGGTCCTGCGTAAGCTGCATGCATGAGTCACTCGTCGTAAGCTTTGCGTAGGCTCTGTTTGTCAGACCCGTTTTTCGTTCAACTTGTTTGGTAGGAGTTGCTTTTGGTCCGCGTAATGCTTTTAGGCGTGAAAATGGGATCAGATTGCTGGAATGTGTTCTTTCGAGCAACAAGGAAAGGGATTCTTTCAGTGAACAGCTTTTTCAGGCTCAGACAACTGCTGTTTGACCGTTGGGTTGCTTGTGCAAACCTTTTGCAATGTTCCACGCGCAGCGCGTTGGCCAGCTTGAGCAAAAAAGCTCGCGTTTGGAAAACAACTTTTCGAGCCCCGAAAGTTTTGTTTTGGCACCTCACCTTTTTCGTTGAGCGGGCTTGGAAAACAACATGTTGAGCCCCGGGCTTGTTTTGCTGCGGCTTTGCCTTTTCACCTTTGGGCCTCGGGCTTGGAAAGCACAAAAAAACTTTTCGAGGCCAGATTTTTTTTGTTGCGAGGCACCGCAGGGACTTTTAAGGGCCCCGAAGCCCAAAAAAGCTCGCGGACTGGAAGAAACTTTTCGAGCCGAAAGTTGATGGTGTAGTGGTATCACGCCCGCTTCGCATGCGGCAGGCCCGGGTTCAATCCCTAGTGTGCCCACGTCAATGCTGAGCTTGCGCAGCAAAGCCTTTGCACCTTTCCATGCAAGTTGTTGCTCCGTCATGCTGGCGCCTCTTGCTCGCGGAGGACCCGCGCAGAAAACAACTTTTCGGGTCTCGAAAGTCAGTTTTTTGCCCTTCATGTCTGTGCAGCAAAACCTTCGCACCTTTCCATGCAAGCTGTTGCTCTGCTCTGTCATGCTGGCGCCTTGCTCGTGGTGGGTCCTCGCTGAAACCAACTTTTTGGGTCCCGAAAGTTTTACCCTCCACGTCACTGCTGAGCCTGTGCAGCAAAGCCTTTGCGCCTTTCCAGGCAAGTTGTTGCTCTGTCCTGCTGGCGCCTCTTGCTCGCAGAGGTTCCGCGCGCTTGCTGCAGAAAAAAACTGTTCGTGCCCCGAAAGTTTGTTTCCATTGTCATGCTAGCGCCTCTCGCTCACGGGGGATCAGGCACGAGCAACTTGTCGTAAGCTATGCGCAAGCTCCATCTTCGAAAAGTAGCAAACGTAAGCGACCTTTTGGTTGGCGGAAGCGTTCCGCAAGCGATTGCGGAAGCTGGAGTAATTTCCTTTACGGGTAACAGGGTTTTTTTCACTGCTCAACTTGACTAGTTTTCAACGATTCATACTTGGCTGAACATAGATGAGTTCAAGTGGTAGGCGGTTACATTCGTTGTGCGGGATCCCGTTCCTTTTTGTTAATTGAGGTGTCTGGTCAACCATTTTAGGCGTTTGCCAAAGAATCAGTTGTTTCTCGTGGTTGCGTGAAAAATGCGCTTGGGGCGAACAAACGTCGGCGGTCATGTTTGCGCCGCAATCAGGAGTTGTCGCCTGCTTAGCACCCAAATTGAACAACAAAAGGCCGCAGGTAAATGTTACGCGCTATTGCCCAGCAAAAAGGCGAACATTTTGAGCATGCAGGAAGGTCCAGTATCTATCGTACACTTTGTGCGGTTTCATGTCAAGGTTGTCGTCATGCTGTCGCTTCGCGCTGCTTTGGTGGATAGACGGGCAGCATGACCATGAGCTGGTCCAAGAGTTCAATGCCAGGCAGCAGAAGCTGGCACAGATGTGGTCCGGGCTCCCAGCCCCACGGGTGGCATGCAGGCGGCACACTGGCGCTCAGAGCTAGGCAAGTTTGAGGGGATCGCTGACGGTGAAGGTTGGTTTCTCCTCCTCACGGCCGAAGGCATCCGTGCAGTTCAAACAATGTAAGCCCATCGGGAATGATCTGGTGTGAACGTAGGCCTGTGAACGTAGGCCGTTGCTCGGCCTGCTTTGGCCATGTACGCAAATACCTACTTTTAGTTCTTAGGAAGGCAGTCACTTGGATTGAGAGGAGAACCACCGAGAATGTAGGTAGCTTTGAAGCACTTTCTGGGTCAAGCAGCAGTATTCGTGATGCGCTTGGTCCATGCCATGTTGGGTCAGGATATGCCCGGCAACGACCGTTTCTTCGCGGAGTTGGGTGCTCAAGATGCAGGTGATGCCCTTTTGGGGCGGGTGCGCATCCAGGGAAGCAGTGCAGGTTGACATCTGATCGTTTCATTTTTGGGCCTTTGAGTGTAGGGCTGACTTGGGCAGAGCAAGGCCTGATTCGACAGCTGGCATGAAGTTTGCTTTTCTTTTGACCCTGAAGATTGGACCAGGCCCGTTTGCGGGCATCTTCCTTTTACAGTGATGTTCTTTGGTGCACATGAGGCTGGGGCTCCGTGATGGTCAGGGTATGCCAGAATCGACGCAGCCCTCACTCAACATGAAGTCTTGTGAACCGTTTGGACCTGCTGACAGCCCTTCACACATGCCATTGCCAGAGCTTGAGGCCCTTTGAACTCGTTAATTTTGAACATTAATTCCCGTGAACAGTTTGGACCTGTGCATTTTGCTCCGTGATGTACCTGAACATCGACCAACGTGCGCCGTGATGGATGTCGGCTCAGACCCGCGGGCAAAGGCGAGATGCCCGTAGCCAACCCCAGTGTCTACTGTTACATACACAAACTCCATGCTATGCCGTTCGGCATGCTGCTAAGTCCCTTGGCTTGCGTTGGCATCATTGCATGAGAATGTGCAACGCGAGGGAGCCTATGACTGAAGTCAAAGAGGCTATCCCGTGACCTAGCCTGGCATGGTCCGAGCAAGCGTTCCCCCTCAAGGAACAATGCGCAAAGGCCCATTCAACAGATCCAACAGCAGTCAACGCCATATCAGTGGCTTGATGGAAAGTATATGGTCGAGTTGTGTGAATGCCAGACTGGACCACTGTGGAAGGATCAATCTTTAGGGGTCAACCCTGCAAACCTACACATGAAAAACGTCATGTGGCACTTGTAAGCTGCTACGCCCAGGTAGCGTACTCCTCCTCCCCTTGACGGCGATCGCCCACACCATCCATGGCGACAAGGAAGTCTTTGCGCACGTCCATAGCGACGGTGTGGCGGAGGCGGCCCAAAGATTGCATGGACCGGGTCTTGCTGAAGCAGGGATCAAGCCAAGCTGCCGGCTGCCGAGCCAACAACTGCGCTCTATGCCTTAGCGAAGCTTTGGTAAGGTTGCATGAGCGCAACACAATGCAATGGGGGAAGGAGAGTCCCTTTTGACATATGTACATCTATTCTGAGCTTGCTGCAGCCTGAAGGGCTTGGTGCAGACAACCAGGCTGTCTTCCAGAGATGGGCAGTTAATGGAATGGCCACTGAACAAACGAGCGCATGGCAGCTATCATTCACGCATTGCGTGCCACATGACTGACAGGTTGCCGATGCGGTGATCAAGAGGCATAAGCTTCTGCGAAAGGCCTGGTGTTTTTGCCTTTGGGTGAGCGGGGGCTTGACGCATGAGGATTCCTTCACTGGAAGAGTGGGATCATAAGGGGGGGCATCCGTTTGGACCGGACGGAGCAGTTGAATCAGCATGCAAATCCAGTTCTGCGGTGCCCTCTCGAGTTGAATGGCTGTGCTTTGCTGAAGCCAGTGGTTGGCATGGCAGCACCTTGCGGATTGACAAGAAGGTGCAACTCCACTAATGTTAACCCCGGATGAATAAACCCCTGGTTGATTCATACACCCCCCAAACAATGGGACGGGTGTATCAATCCTGGGTCAACATGAAGAAGGATCCAGGTCTCTTCACGTTGCTCAAATTCCGGAGCCCCATTCTTCTCTGGCAAGCTCACAGGTTGAAACGGTCTAGTGATCAAGGTTCTTGGCTTGGGCGTAGCCGACGTTCGGGACCCAGCACCTTTAGAAGGAAGCTGGTGCAAACCAGGACCCGTCTTGGACAGGTTCCACGAAAAGGAGGAGCCTTTGACAGGTTCCATGTCAATTACGGGAGGCTGATGTAAACTAGGTTTTCCAGTAGTGCCCTTTTGCACTTTTTTTGGGGGGAGGGTTCCCCTACTAAAACAGAGTACAGAAACAAGTTGGTGCCCTGCTTCTAACCTCATGGCTGGAGGACCCAGTAAACGCTCTTGCTGATCGCCTGCAGGAGGCCAAGCTCTATGCCGCCCGGCATTTGGGCGATGGGAGATTGCGACAGGTTGCCAGAGGTCCGGCAATTTTGGGCAACGGATCCGACGTGGCCAAGACGGGCCCTCGTTGCAAGGTTACTAAGGCGAACAATTCCTGAGCTTGTAAATGGCAAAGTGTGAAGCAGTGGTATGGCCAATATGCCCACCTTTGATGCAGGCACCTTTTGTATGCCCAAGATGATCTTTATTGGTTTGATCGACCCCATCTTTCTATGCTGAAAGGGTTTGCACTTGCTGGGTTCAGCACCGGCAACTGGGTCGGCGGGACGCTAACCAGGTTGCTTCCGCCCACATAAATGCCCAAGCATGGCTACGTCCTTCCCCCACTTTGCATTGGCTTGGTTTCTTTGTTTACAACAAGTAGGTTGGCCAGTTGCGGCCGAGTTGCCAAGCCACCCAGGGAAGCTGGGCTTTGCAACTCAAGAGGCAGAAGCCTGCTCAAGCTGGCCTCGGGGTTTGATGGCCTTGCAGTGCAGTCCATCAAGCCAAGGGCGCATCGTTGATCGCTGCCTCTCAGCCGCACTATTCAAGCCAGAACGGAGTTGGTCAGCTCGATGCAAAGGATACAACAAGTAATTCGCGGCCATCCTAGTCCAACAAGGATAACTGGTTTTGGCCCACTGGTTTTTGGGGGTGGCGTGTGATCACCTTGTCTAGGTCCACCAGTATTGCCCTGTTACCCTTTTTTGGGGGAGGGTTCCCCTAGTAAAATAGACTACAGAAAAAATGGTGCCCTTCTTCTAACCTCTCTACTGGAGGACCTAGTTGTTTCTTCTTCCCGTGTGTTCTGCGGGCAGCCAGGAGGGTGGGCGAATAACTTCGCGGCCGCCCAGCTGCAAATTGCTCGAGGCAGCCCGAGAATTGGGACGGATCGAGCGGAGCTGCCAATTCAGTTTGCCCATGTTTGGCCACTTTGACCTTGGTGGCTCCCAGCCATCCCCTTAGCTTTTTAGCCTTTTAGTGTTGAGTGGTAGTTTCCATTTAACCCGCTAAAATTTAAACTTTTAGAGGGGATCTCAGGCCAGCCTAGTGACTTCAGCTTCTGAAGAAGCAGCCCAGACCTGCGCAAGTCATCACTTGTGGTGCTGTAGGCTATTTTGTGTCTTGCCCCCGAGAGTCCGGTTCTTTTGGATCCCACAATGCTGACTGGAGGGGGCCATGGGCCGAGAAACATGGCAGCGTTTGCCACCCCGTGGTTCACTTGTTGGAGCACTCAAGTTCGACTCATCATGGAACCTCACGAGCAGGCAATGTGGCAATGCGGGATGGCTGCTTTCAACAAATCAATCGGCCGCCGTGTCTGCGTAGAGCCTTCAGGGTTTGCCCCGAAATTTGCTAAGGACCAGAAGAACTAGATACCTGCCGCAGTATCCCACTGGTCCTGCTACTTGCGACGGCAGCCAGCAACTTGGCGACAAGCAAGTGCTGGGAACGCTCGCAGTGGAATTAGCAGGCCCTCGAGCACACGGCAAGAAGCATTCCTTGGAAGCTCAGCTTGTGCACGTCAGTGACCACTCGCAATGCTTGCCACTGAGGCTTACGTCCCGTCCTCAGTGCGCAAGCACAGTGCTGCCTTTGCACAGCCAGGGCTGGCCATGTTGAGTGATAGCTGTTTGCATGGCACAGTGGCATGGATGCTGCAAGACCTTGGGAAGATGTAGTGGGCCTGCTGAGGTGCCCATCTGACAAAAGCCAGCCCAGCTGCAGGGAAGCGCATGTTTGGGGGGTTGGGGTGTTCGAGACCAACGGTATCATGCTTCGATGTTCGGAAGGGCCAGCTTTGGGTCTCGAGCAATTGCTTGCCCAACTTGGCTCAATCTGGTGCTTCAGGTCGTGAGGGCACGTGGCATCCAAAATGCCACAGCTCGCAATTGTTTTACCACTTGTTGGCATTTCAAAAGTCAATGATAGCACAAGAGGTGACCAAAGCACATGGGTTGCAAGTTGGGAATTGCTAAAAACATCCCCATCTCCCCAAACAGCCCTAAGGAATTTGCGTGCCATGTTCGGCTAATTGTGTTGGGCCAAATTTGGTCGCAGAGGTGTTGCAACACGCGTCCAAGGCGTAGACCCGTGTTCGCAGCTCCAGAACTGCAGCATCGGTGGCCACCATGACTGCGAGGGAACCTTCAAGGCGATGGGGATGCGAAAACGTCAAGACCGGTAAAGTTAAGAGGACAGTCAACCAAAACCAGGTGCCGCCCTTTTTGGGCCTTATAATTGCATGCCTAAGGTTTTAAGTTTGATTCAGCTGAATTTTAGCAACTTCGGAGGTAAAGATCCCGTCAGACAGCCTAGGCTGCACCAATAGACAAACACGTCATTCTAGTCAAGAGGCTTAGAGTAATTCATCACTTCCAGCTACACTATGGAATCCGCTGGCCTCATGTTTACGGGTGCTATGTTTGGTTGGCTTTGAGCCAATTCATCCTTTTCCTGAAACTGTGAGTACTGCCCTTCTCTTTTTGATGCTAAGATGCTCCCCTTGTCCAAATGGTATCCCCCTTGCCAGGCAAAAAGCACGTCAACATTCACAGCTTGCCACAAACGGAATTGAAAGACGATTGTTCGATTCAATTCTTTGATTGTTGATTTGAACATTAAAAGGCGCAATTAAACTTGCTTACAGTACAGTTCACAATTGGGTTTCAAAGCCGAGCCTGAAATTACCATCAACATCTTGCTTTGGAGATGCCCCGTAATTTGGGGTGGTTGGTTTAGTGGTAGTCTAGTCTTGCGCAACAATTAGTTGTGTCTTGGAGAATCGGATTAGATTGCAGAGTGGAGAATTGACCTACCTTCTTACTTCCTTGCCAGCAAGAAAAAGCGCAATTCAGGGCCACAGGAGGTGAGGTGACTTGTTCTGTAACATTTCCTTGTAGTTTCACAGGGCTCCTTAAACGATACATGTTGCCCATTTGAAACATGTTTTTTCCCCACCAAAATAAATGGAAACCACCATTTACAAGGCAGTGTCTAGGTGTATCATGTAGGGATTCCTGTTTCATGGGCAGTCCGTATGACCCGACATTCGATGTCCACGTGCCTCGTTGCACTCGCTGGCAGATGTGCATCCCCGACAAAGACAGCCCAACAAAGTGCGCGACCAGTGCCCCTTGGCTGAGACCTGGTCATGGAACGTGTATGCTGGAAATAGCACAGCCCAGGAGAAATCATCTGTGATGGTGGTAAGCTTGTCGCTGTTTGTTGCACTGTGAAAGGCAAGGCAGATCGTCAGAGAACATCGAACACGCATCGTAGCATGGCCTGGTTCGATGCGATATCTTCTGGGAAATCCCTTCGCCAACAAAAGGTACCACTTCCTGTGTCAAACCTTTAGGCCTGGTCCCTGATCATTTTGGTAGCAGGATGTCTTGGGGCTGGAGCATTTCGGCCAGAGCTGTGCTGCAATTTGCCATCGGCATGTTGCTGAGGAAGTGTGCTTGCTGCGGTGCACTGGCGTTTTCGTGGAGGAGCTCCGGGGCGCATGTAATGTGCGCAGTGGATACCGGCCTTGCCCATCCTCGCGGAGTCGCAGCCCCCATAAAGCATTGCTTAGCAATCCTGGGGCCTGGGAAAGCCGAATCTGATCAAACTTGCAGTGGATTTTCGGCCACATCACCATGCCGGGGGGCTCCTCAGGCTTGTGTTGGGCACTTCTTTGGCCAACCTTTCAAGCTGCGCAGGAGAAGAGTGATGGCTCCAAGGGAGCTCCGGCATGCTCCGACCTTTCCCCGCAGAAATGCGATGGCCACTATGCCACTTGGATGTGATGCATCGGTCGATGTATCACTCTAGCTTCTTGCACCTAACTGCCTGTAGCAGCCTTGCCCGGAGTCCCTCGCGGCATAGTGCCAGGTGGGCTGTGACAGTTTCTGGCCGGGAAGGGGACGTAGCATCAGTGTACCATGCCACTGCGGAACTGATGATGTAATTGTCCATTAGCATTGGGAAAGTTCAGCGTTTGTTTCGCTTTCGTTGCTTAGCTTGGCATTGTTGAGGTGGACACTTTCCTACCAAGGTGGCTGACAAGGACTACACCAGCAATGGCTTGGGCGACTTGGCTTCAATTGGTTAAGTGTGGGACCACGCCGTGCGCGAGCAAGCCATGCCAACGCGCGGAAGCACGCAAACACACGCACGCACGCACGCACGCACGCACCCGCGCACACGCACCCGCACACGCACACGCACACCCACACACACACACATGCCTTCATGCATGCAGCTGTGCAAGCATGCATGACTGACCTACCCACCTATCCCAGCCTATATAGCCGAATCTACCCCAACCTTACCTTGCCTACCTACCAACCTGCACACTGCCTCGATTCAGGTATGCAAACACACACGCGTGCATGCATACACACGCAAAGACACAGACACAACACACACACACACACACACGCACATACCCGTATCTACATGCATGCATTCTGTCAGTATACATACACCTACCTGCCTACCTGCATGCACCCACGCACGCAAGCACGCACACACACACACACACAGACATGCTTGCATACCATACCATACCATACCATACCGTTCCATACCGTTCCATACCATACCATGCATACGTACAGGCAGGCAGACAGACAGCCAGCCAGCCAGCCAGACAGACACACACACACACAGACACACAGACACACAGACACACAGACACACAGACACACAGACACACAGACACACAGACACACAGACACACAGACACACAGACACACAGACACACAGACACGACGACACGCAGACAGACAGACACGGACAGACACAGACAGAGAGACGGACGGACGGAGACAGACAGACAGAAGACAGACAAGACAGCCAAACACACATAGTGTGTTTCTTTTTCTTTTTACGTGGCATCATGGCACGCTACATTACATACGTGCATTCGTCGAGTCAGACAGAGACAGACAGACAGACAGACAGACAGACATACATGTTGCATACATCCAAACGTACACTCATACACACGTATACGCACATTATACATACTCGCACATACTCACGCATACACATGCATACTTACACGTTTACAAGCTTACAGACTTATACACTTAGACTTACATATGTACTTACATACATACAACCATTCACATACACACACATACAAAACACAGGCATACACACAAATGCACTGATATTCATGCATGCGTTGACCATGCATGCATGGTCAACGCATGCATGGCATACACACAAATGCACTGATACTCATACACGCGTTGACCATGCATGCATAGCATACACACAAATGCACTGATACTCATACATGCATTGACCATGCATGCATGGCATACACACAAATGCACTGATACTCATACATGCGTTGACCATGCATGCATGGCATACACACAAATGCACTGATACTCATGCATGCGTTGACCATGCATGCATGCATGTATGCATACCAGCACGCTAACACACACAGACAGAGATATGTACATATATTTGTATATATATATATACATATATATATATATATATAGGAATCCACATGTGTACATTGAAAGATGCAGCACGCACACACAGTAACAGAGATTGTCGCATGCATGCATGGATGCACAGATGCAAGCAACTGCAGGTCGAATATCCTTGCGCATGCACCCGCATGCACACAATGGCTGATTCCTGTCATGCATGGCGTGGGATTCGAAGGCCATGGAAATCGGATCACAGCCGCGGAGGTTCTTGCTGAGTTTTGTTTAAAAGGTCCTACAAGGTCCGCTCTGCCCCCAGAACTCTCTAGCCACTTCTTAGAATTGTTATATATCTATATTCATTGGTTTGGCAATGCAGAGCCCTTCCAGTTGGCTGAGGTTACGAATGCGTTTTGAAGGAGGACCAGACTTGCGGTACCTCGAGTACCTGCGGGGTGCAAAACCCTCCTGAGAGCTTGGGCGAGAAGCAGTGCTACGTGCCGGGCTTAGCTCGCCTTGGGTCGACATGGGCCAAACTGGGAAACGCCACTTTTTCCGCCGTGACTGGAAAGCACATCATGCGACCCTGGCGTTTGACTCTTTTTTTGTCAGCAGACCTTGGCAGAAGGCATGAGCAAAATGATTAGACAGACAGACAAGATAGCCACTGATCAAGTAGGCACTCGTGAACATTCCCGTGAGTTCTTGTGAGCCTTTAGGTAGATTCTGCACAGTTTGCCTTGCCAGGGTTGTGGACGTTCGGAGGGCAAGAGAGAATTCCAAAACGTGACAGCCCATTTCACGGGCAAGACATCGAGAGGTGAGCCAGAATCAAAACCCGGGCAACTGAAGGTTAATAAGGGACAGTCCCAACCAGAATTCGGTGCGGCCGCCTTTGTAGTTCTTTACATTGCTTTGGGTAGATTTGAATTACCCATCGTTTTTTTTGAGCAAGTGACTCAGTTGAAGCCTTCCATTTCTGATTTGTTTTGTTGGTTTCCCTCAATCCCCCAGAGGTGAAGCGCCTCCTCTCAGGAGCCGGAAGTCTTCAAGGGCTCCCCGGACGGGACCTGCAGCACGCTGCGCACGCGGCCCGGGCACGAGTGCAAGACGCAGTGTGCACCGGGAGCCTTGGCGAAGGCAAGAAATCACGGGAGGGGCCCCTAGTCCTGGATCCAATTCCCTGGAAAAATGGAATGGCACACCCCCCCTATGGCACGACTTTTCTTAAGGGGACCTGGAAGTCCGTTCATGGTTCATATGGTTCCATTTTCCCTTTTATCCTAGAGTTCCTGGGGAAAAATGGAGTTGGGATCTGAACCATGTCCCCCAGCGCCCTTTCTCAGCCCTTTTTGGGGCTAAAATAGACTGCAGAACAAAGGGTGCCCTTGTATAGCCTCTCTACTGGAGGACCTAGTGAAATTCCATTCGTGGTTCCCTTTTCCCTTCTATCTGTGCAGTTTCAAGAGTTGCATGCTATTTGTAGCCGGTTCCTCCAGAAGGCCCGCTGCTACTTTCAGCAAGCCGTCGACCCACCAAAGTGGGCAACTCATACGACCAGTGGATGGCGGAGCCGACCCATCCAAGTTTTGGGTGGCTGACTGCAGCGTATCCGAAGGGATTTTATACAACCTCCAGTTTGCAGCGGAGTGGTCGCATGTGGTAATGGCACTTGATCCACGTTCATGACTGTGTCCAGCCACGTGTTGTTCCAATGGGAGGTGACCTACGCCCAGGGCTTGGCCAATCATGAGTCGGGTCGTTCTCTTGGCTTCCTGGGATCAGTGAGGGCCATGCCATTGGAAAGCAATTTGGTAGAACCTTGCATTAGGTGTTGGTCATTTTAATGTGGGGGTCATGCCATCCTTGACAAAATTAGTGGAACCTTAGGCTAGGCGTTGGGCATGTTTGCAGTGGGTCAAGGAGGTGCCTGCAAATCCCCGGCTGTTTCGGCCCTGGAACTGCCTCCATTGAGGTTACACACCGTCACTCGCAGCGCTCAAGTGCAAGGACATCGGCGAATTTGAGCCGTGGCCCGCTCGCAATTTCATCTGGGGCCAAAGTCTGGCATGCAACCTTGGCAAAGCGAGTGTTTTGTTGAGGCTCGGAGCCCCTTTCACCCTTTGAGAGTAAGAGTAACTCGAAGGAAAGCCGAATTCCTTCCGGCCTTGCTGCGGGTTGTGCTTCCACAAATGCCCAAGTGATGAAGGGAGGGCAAGCGTCACGGCAAACTTCCCTGGAATCTTGTCATCACGCTGGTGCGCTGTGATTCTCATGCGGTGCGTGTCACCAGCTCTTGGGACATAGGTGTCCCTTTTAGGTTTGTTTCGATAAAAATGGATGGGTTCCACTGGTTTCGATGGGGTTTGTTCCATCTACTAGGGCCATCTCCATGTGGGTCAAAAATAGGTACCCAAAAATGGAATCTGGTAAATGCACACATGGACTCAAATCTGTGGTCCTTTGGTGATTCAATATTGGCCCACACCCATCGATTTTTCCACAAGGCCACCTAGGGTCAGCAGTTGGGTGCATAAACAAATTGGCTGAAGGAAGACCTTCGAGTGCGAGCCCAACGCCTGCAAAGTGAAGCCGGTGCAGAACGCGCTGGCCAGCGGTTGCAAGGACCGTTGTAACGGACGCAACGGTGGGGTTGCGCGCCTCTTCGGCCTTCGGAGAAGCGGGGGGGTTCCAATTCAATGGGTGAAGAGACGTGAAGTCATGTGGCCATGGGCTTTTCAAAATCCAAGTCGTACCCCCAGTGAACATCCCAATCCAACCACTAAAATAGGTTCTAAAATGGGTGGTGCACCTACCCCAAAATGGGATCCCCTTGGTTTTGACCCACGCCATGTCTTGGAGAAGCGGGCGAGCATGATTTCGAGTCAGGGGTGGAGATGGCTTTCGCATGTCGCTGGACGCTTGTCAGCAGATCGCATGGTTGCACTCTTCCTTTCAGTTTTAGCCCCCCTGTGCTTGCTCACTCGCCTGAACAAATGTGAACACTGCCTCTGCTGCCTGCTGTTTGCACGACAAGTATCAATCAAAGAGTGTTGCTCAAGTTGAATTCTTCCCTTTCCCCTGCAGGCCTTCAAGGGAGAATGGTCATGACTGGCTGCACCTGTTGCTTCTGTTTTAATTTTTTAGTGGCACCTGAAGCAATACTGTGGACGGTTGCGACATCCGTTCGCACCACTTTGAAGCCTTGGTTGAAACCATTGCTTCTTGGTATTTCGTAATCGGTTCATTCCGTTGGGTTCTTGGTGCGAGCGGAATTCGCAGCCATCCGCAGTGCTCCCCTGAGGTCTTCAAAAAACAACAACAACACATGACCATGACTTCTTTTTTTTTTAGCGGCCTCAAGCAACTCGCGAGCATCAATTTTCCGGGTAGATCCGCTTCCGCGCCCATTTTGTTGGTCGGCTGTCGACTTGGAGGAGGGGCCCAACGCCGGGGAGGCAGTCATCGTGTCCGGGGAGAAGTGCACGGTGCAGTGCAAGGAGAGGGCTTGTCGATCTTGGCGCTTGATGCTGCAAAGCGGTGCTTGTTGAGTTGCGTTTTGGACCTGACTGAGGGGTCCTGGAAATTCATTTTCCTTTGTAGTTAATGGACGCCTTTGATGGGCTCCAGGGGACAGGGTGTTTTCCCTCAAATCCTCTATGGCTGTTTGGCTGGATCTGGACTTCAACTTTTGGGTGACAGTGGATTTCCCATTGGACGCACAAAAAGTGAAGCTTTTGCGGAGGGGTCAACACAACCAAGAAGCCAACGACCAACCAAGAGCAAGGCGCCATTGATTAGGGTGGGAGCCCCCCCCCGCCGGGATCCGTGCCCCCCACGACTCGTTCGTTTTTGGCGGACCAATGCTGTCAGCTAGGATGGTTTCTACGCCTCGGACGAGCTGCTGCGGTGCCACGCGGAAGTGCTCCTCGCTCGCACCGGTGTGTTGAACAAAAAAAAGCGCGGCTCTGACTCCGAGCTGGTTTGAAACCGGGACCCAAGAAAGTTGCCGTCGAAAAGCTAAAGCTTTTGGAGCTTTTAGTTTGCCATTGGTCAATCTTTAGAGGTCTTTAAAAGGAGAGTCGCTTATTTCTGGGTCCTTTGGCAATTGAGGAAACATGGCACCCCATGCCCGCCGCAAAGACTGAAATGTGTGCCAACATTGGTTTTGGCTGGACGCATTTTGCGAGATGTTCGCAAAATGCGGATTTGCACTGGACACGCACTATTCGAGACTGCTCCCTTTATTTGAACAATCAAGTTGCGCTAGAAGGAATATGCTGCCCGGTTCGACCATCGTTCATATCGTTCATTCGTTCATTTGGCTGGTTGCTTGTAGACTGTAGACATCTTGTTGCTCTAGGGGTCGATTCCCGATTCTTTTCAACCATTGTTCTTTTCAAAAACCGGCTGTTTCCCCTCGGTTTTTGATGGTTTCCTGAAAAGAAGGATCCCTAGAAAGAATGGGGAAGGTACCCCTAGAGTTACCGCAAAATGGCTCAGAAATCCGGGCGCCTGCCCTCTGTTTGGTTCTTTGGGCGGGGGACTGCCTGTGCAAGGGGCCCAAACAGGACACACCCAATCAACGAGCTGCATAGCGCCGGGCACAAGAGGTTGAAGAAGAAGCATGTGACTCAATGACACGACGCAATGGGGAAAAACCGTGGGGGGGGGGGAAGGATCCTCAACTGCAAGTACCGTCAAATAGTCAAATAGCGGTGACATGGTCGGACAGCGGACTTACACATTCACAGAGCTGCATGACAAGGCGCCTTTTCCATGAACCATCGGACGGGCTCAGGTTTCACAAGGAGAGAGCCATCCTATTGTCACCCTTGTGGGTTTCTCACACCTTTTACTTTTTTTTGGGAAGGTTTGTCTACTAAATAGACAAAACCGAAAAGACTCGCGTGCCCTTATTCTAACTCCTCAAATCTGGAGGACCGAGTCACAAGTAAAGTGGGTGTAGCTCAAAATATAAGGCTTGGGGTTACGCAGGTTTTGGTCTTTGTTTCCATCCAAGGGGCCCAAGAATGGGTTCCACTTTTTCGAGCCACCCCAACTAAAATAGTCGTCCAGAAAAGAAATTGGTGCCAACATATTCGAACTCAAATCTGGAGGAGCTAGTCAGTGCCTCACAACCGATTCCCGGTTTGCGCGCCAGGCTCGTCGAACGGCCGTTGGAAGCTGAGGCTCACTCCCGCGGCCTTCACCTGCGAAGCCCCTTGCCCAGTGCCCACCGTGAAAAACGCCGCGGCGGCCGGGGTCTGCAAGGAGGCAACGCGCGGATGCCGAACCAGAACCTTCCATTTGGTTAAGAATATGTTTTATTTTCCCCCTGGTGGTTTTAAAGGGAATCTATCACTACTGGACGTTTTTTTCTTCCAGGGGACTTAAGCAATGGAGGGAACCATTCCTCACTTCCTGAGTTGGGTGTGGGTCAAAATTAAATCATCAGGAAATGGACCGCAGGTTTTAGTCCATTCCATTTACCAGGGTTCCATTTTGGGTACATATTTTTGACCCACAGCCAGTTCATGGACTTTATACTTGTTGCAAAAAAAATATCAGTGGAAAACATGCATTTTGTTGTTTTGTTTGGCCATCCACTCAGGATGAGTTCCCAACAGATCAGGGTGGCGAAACTTGGGGTCGTATGGGTCGTTTCGCTTGGTTTCTCTTCACCGGGCACCGAATTCGATTTTGAAACCCTTGCGACAAGGTCTCAGAGGCAACCCAGATGGAGCATGCGCAAGGGACAAACGTAGCCATAGTAGCACAGATGGTAGGCGCATGACTTGGCAGCGAAGACAGTGCGGAAATGAGCCTATACCCATAAATACCATGATTCATGGCAGCCTCCGTGTGTTTTGTACGAAGGAAGCAGGAACTTTGGTGTTGGGCCCGCACTTGTCAGTATCAGGTGTAATCCGGTATTATATGACTCTATGCTTTGAACAAGGGTATGATGCAGACGCAGTCAGGCATTTTCGTTCACCGCTTGGTTTCCGTTGCAAGCCGTTGTTTCAGCCCCCGCTTGAGCAACCATGCCTAGGTTTTATTGCCGCTATCCCACAGGTGGGGCACTAAATTGTTGGACCGAGCAGGCTTGACTGAGAGAGGTTACCTCAGGTTGGACCCCACATGTCAGACAGCCCATATCCTGGGAACTTGGGAAGAATGTGATCCACCATGCCAAGTTTCTCCTCGCATGCTGCTTTGGGGCCGCGTGGGGAGATGTTGCGGAGCACAAAGCCATACCCGAACAATTGCTGCAAACTTGGCACGTTGCATTGTTTCGCCTGACGTGAGCTCAGTTTATGGCTGGTTTTTGGCCTCGACCCAGCCCTTTCCTGTTCTCTTCAATTTGCTTAAGGATATGTGTTATTTTCCCATGTTGGTTCTAAAGGGAATCTATCACCACTGGATTTTTTTCCAGGGGTCTTAACCAAATGGAAGTTCCCTTCCAGGCGGGTGTGGGCGACAAGATCTTGCCCTTCACCTCCTGCACGAGCCAGTGCGCTCCGGGCTACACGCCTTCGGTCCAATCACTGCTCCTCGCAAAAAAAAGGGCGGGTCCTCGGGAGAATAGCCACGCCCCCTTCTCATAGGCGTCCTTTTTAGGTGAGCCTGGTTAAAAATAGATGGGGTCCACTGGTTTAGATGGCTTTTGTTTCATTCAGGGCCATCGATTTTTCCAAACGGCCACCTGTGCCCCTTCTCGGAGTGTCTAGCAAACGATTTGGATGCGTAGTGTTTTGGATTTCACCCGTTCTTCCCCCTATTGATCCCTTTGTTTAGTAATCTTTTAGCACTCTTTTAATGTTCTACAGGGGTGGATCCACAAAAGGCCCATTCAAATCGTTTTCTTGAGAATTACAGTAGAAAATGCAGGAAGGAACCAGCACGGTCTAGCACCTCCATTCTCGGAAGCCCCTGCATCACTGCAACCCAAGCACCCACCAACAACTCGCCAACTAACAACCCAACCACCCCACTCCCACCCACCAAGCACCACCAAGCACCGCCAACCCACCCAGAACCACCAACCCACCAACCAACCCCAGAAACCCCGCACGAAGCAACCCACCAACAAAGCCCTCTTTGCCGTTCGAAGCCCAACAAGCTCCGCACGAAGCACCTCGAAGCAGTGAAGCTCCGAAGCCCGTACGGCCCAGGAGCTGCCGCACCGGCGCCTTCACGCCCCAGTCGGTGACCTGCGAGCCGGACCCCTGCGAGGCGCCCTCCGGAGCGGCCCGGCGAGGAGCTTTGCTGGGACCGGAATTGGAGGTGCACGTTTTTGGTTAGGAACTGGATGGCATTGTTGGGGGGGGGTGTCCGTTTTGTTCGTTTTTGTTTTTATGGTTAGCTTGGTTCGAAATATGGCAGAACTAGGTGGGCTCCAGCAGTTTTAGAAGGGTTTTAGGGCAGAAACAGGTGTGCAGGGATGGTTACTGGGTACCCAGTAGTGCCCTTTCTCACCCCGTTTTTGGGGGAGGGTTCCCCATGCCAGAATAGACTACAGAAAAAAAGTTGGTGCCCTTATTCTAACCTCTCTACTGGAGGACCTAGGTTAGCTTGGTTAGAAAGGGTTCCACCGATGGGTTGTATGGCAGAAATAGGTGGGTTCCACCGGTTTAGATGGGTTTTGTGGCAGAAATAGGTGGGTTCCACCGGTTTAGATAGGTTTTATGGCCCATTTGCAAGGGCCCATCTATGTTACCAACAGGGCACAAGTGCCGACATGCCGCAAGGAACCTTGCCTGAATTGGGCTAATGAGCAAATTGGACAATCGCCTGCCAGCCATGTAACCCGTTTCCGCCTCGGGGATCTCTAGGCTTCAAATTGGTCAAATCATAGCAACAGGGGCATAAAGCGTCCGGGCCCCGGGATGAAGTCTCCATTCCTACTGGCTATTCTATGCATTGTTGCAAGATGAGTTGCCATGTTGGTTGGATAACATGCAATGCTAAGAGCATAGGGAACCCCTTCCTTCAGCTTGACGAGTTACGGCTTTATTAGGAACTTGCAATTCAGAATGGCTTCCTGGCCCGACAAGAGGACGTTCGTAGGGTTTGTGCGGTTTGTGTGTGCGTGAGCGGGCTCGGCGCCTGTTGGACTTGTGGAAAATGGAAGCAAACCAAAGTTAACACACAGCCCTTTGCCAATAGCAGGAGTCGCTCAAGGTGCATCGAAAGGGGGTGATGGTAAGCAGACGGATTTGCCTGCAATGAGGATGCTCTCGAACACGCGGCTTGTGGGTTCTGTGTCTGCAGAGGGATGCAGTTTGCATCGGAAGGCGGCAGGCAAGTTGGCACTGGCAGTGCTGTGTAGCAAACATATCCTACGGATCCAGTTGCCAAGCAGACAAGGTGCCAAAACATGGAATACATTCAAGGATGGCTATGAATTTGAATGGGGTGAAATGGGCGAATAGGGTAATGGGGCAACATCCTCGAGCTTTCACACTGGTTGGTCAGGCAAATCCCCATGTCAATGTGATGCCCACGAACAGGGGCACCAGACCGTTACCTCAATTTTGCTTCAGCATGTTGTTTACCTTTTCTGGTTATTTTTTTTATTTTTTCCTTGGGCCTTCACCAAATGGAAGGTTATAACCCAAGCGCACACAGAACCTCCAGCTCAGGTGGAGTTTGTGTCCAAGGAGGGCGCGTGCAAGGAGGGCGCCACCTTGAGCTCCGGGCCACTCGCCTGAGCTCGCCTGGCGCGGAGCTGTGAGCCATGGATACGTTACCCTATGCAGAGACCCCTGTAAGACGACTTTCCAACCTCAGCAATTCAGAAGTCACGGGTCTTCTGCTTCAAAGCTTGCGACACTGGAATGCCCTTTGGCCGCATCCTGGAATTCCGCCTAAGCGGGGTGCACTATTTTCGCACCCTTCAGCCCCAAAACCGCCTCACCTACCCACGTTAGTCATAGATGTTGGCAAAGGCAAACGTACCTGCGCGATGCTCTGTGGTGGTCATGTCCATACCCCAAAGCCTTTAGGTAGAAAATGAAACAAGAAGCATCAAATACGTAGCATCAGCGCCAAAGTCCGATCTCCGACAGGCTGTTGCCCACCGCATGTACAACAACACTTGTAGGTATGGCAATCATTGCAGGTATTGTTCTGCCCCAGGAGCGCGAGCACAAGTCAAGTCACAGTTGCTGATGGACTTTAACTAATTGTCTGCGCCAGGAGTAGCAATCAACTCACTTTTTGGCAGGCATTTTTGGGAGGCATGACATTGGTTACTGTGACCGATACATGGGCAACTACTCATCACATGCTGAATATGATTCAGCTTAGTGACCAGGAAGCACAAACACACACACACCCACGCACGCACGCACGCACGCACGCACCCACACACACACACACCCACACGCACCCACACACACACACACACCCACACACCCACACGCACACGCACACGCACATGCACACCCACACACACACACACACAAGCACACGCACACAAGCACACGCACACGCACACGCACGCGCACCCCCCCACACACACACACACACACACACCCACACACACACACACACCCACCCACCCACCCACCCACCCACCCACCCACCCACCCACCCACCCACCCACCCACCCACCCACACACCCACCACCCACACACCCACCACCCACCACCCACACACCCACACACCCACACACCCACACACCCACACACCCACACACCCACACACGCACCCGCACGCGCACGCGCAAGCGCACGCGCACGCGCACGCGCAC